ATGACTTGACCAAAGGAAAGCCTTTGTGGCAAGAAAATATGAAGGAAGAGGCTGCAACTTGAATTGGATAAATGGAAACAAACTCGACAAAGAAAAAAAGCACTAAAACTAATTCAAAAAGGTATATTACTCACTTTGAACAGAACTGAATTTCAGAAGCTGGCACACACACACCCAATTAGAAAGTTTAAAGAGCCCTATAATCATTACAGACACTGGACAGCACTGTAAAACTTACACACACATGCATAGGCAAAGGCCATCCAACAAGTACAAAGTATAATCTGAACAAATCAAGGTGCAATCAGCAGGGACAATAGTGGGGAATATGTTAAATGGTTAATAAAATAACATCTGACTCAGCGTACTGTCAGTAGAATAAAAAAAAAAAGGCAGGTGGACTCTTGGAGAGTTTAATAATTATAGGCTTCTTATTTTTCTGGTACTTCCTGTTTCAGATCTGTTATCTAGTAACTAATCTTCCTCGTGCAGCAAAACAAAAATGAAATGAGCTATTCCCTCTTCCAACCCCATTTATATACCATGAAGGAGAATTTTACATCTTCATGTTTATTTCCCAACTAGAAAAATCAGATTTCTGTAGTTAGTAAGTGTACATTCTTGTGTGAATTGGACGTAAATAGCAACAACAAAGTCAAAGCTCTGACCCTTACCTGCCCTGTTTCCTAAACCTAGCACATCTCAACTTTCTTCTGCAATGTGAATGAAGCCCAGGACCCAGACAGTTGTGTGGATTAAATTATCTTTACTTCTTAATATCTACCAGAAACACACAGAACGAGCTCATAGGACATGTTCAGTAAATGGGAGTTTTGATTAAACAAGTTGAAAGCACAAGAGAAACAAACAGAAGGTTATGGTAGGAAGCAGAGAGAAGTGGGAACTAAGATGCCTGGGAAGGAGGCATGACGATCTCGAGGCTGCCCAACAACCTTGAGGCTGCCCAAGTTGAGGGAGACAGAAGTTAAACCTTTCTATGAAAAGGTTACAACCATTTGTCAAATAGATATAAACCATAGGACATCCTCAAAATTTAAAAGGGAGGGCTAGCCAGTGGCATGGTAACTAAGGGAGCTGGATCCCACAAGGCTGACCATGCAGTCTGAGTCCTACACACAGCTGTTTGAGAAACACACCAACTGTGGACGCATGCCCAAAATCCCGAAAGGAGGGAGAGATGGAGAAGGGATTGTAGCATGACCATTCTTGGGCAGGGGTGCTTTCTCTCTCTCTCTCTCTCCAGTGAGAGCATCTGCCCTCTACCCCATCCCCACCCCCAAAATATAGATTCAAAAAAGGAATAAGAGACAGTGTAGTCTCTTAAATCAGTCTGAGGAGGAAAATAAGAATATAAGAGACAGGGACATTTGAAAATTGCTAGGGAAGGGAAAGGAAGCACAGAACGCTTCAGGTTGTGGTGGGAGAAATATATGGGTCATTTTTCTTGAGATGAATAGGAAGGAAAAAAATGACTTTATAAAAAAGATTGTAAAAAGATCACTTTAGAAGAAAGCAAATGTTTTAAAAACAATAGAGGTATTTGGAATCCTCAAAAAAGGAAATGAATAAAAGTGGGAAAATAGAGCCTGTATGTTTTTGGCATTCAATCATCTATTTCTGCAGTCATGTCTCTGGAATTCACAGGCAAAACAAAAGGACAGTAAAAAGAAGAGGTAAAAAGCCTTTCAAAGACAACTTGCAGAATTGTGTCAGAGCATGCAAGACTAATAGCATCAGAATGTACAAGAATTAGAAATGTAATCTACAAAGCACGCTGAGGCTATAAAGTTGTTTTGCATATAAAATAAAAAGCTAAATCCAATGGGGAAAATTGATATGGAGGACCTAGGTCTCTTCACATCCAGATTTTTAAAAAGACTAACTCTAAGATCAGAAGACATGAATCAGAAGAAATACTTATGGGTGTGTGATGCCCCTCCTTCCTTTCCAGTGTGAAAGGATGTTCTTCCCTTTCATATAATTGTAATGCTAGCTGTGTTGGAAGTTAAACCTAAATGTTTGATGTCATTAGTCATTTTTAATTACTCGCAATCCTAAGACTAAGCACATTTAGATAAATTTGATAGGATTATTAAAATAGAATGAGAATTTAGAATTCGGTTGCAAGCAATAACAACAATGAAATCCTGGAACTGGCTTACAGAACAAAGGAAATTTTCTGAGTAACATAAATGAGGCACTGGGAGCCTTGGGCCAGCTTGATCCAGTACTCCCACCACCAAGTCCCATAGCTGTTTTGCCTCTTGTGATCATGCTCTAACCTGGCTTCTCCCATGGTTAAAAACAAACAAAACAAAACAAACAAAAAACAAACCTGCAGAAATGTTAGGCCTGATACCCACATACCACCAAATCCAGATAAAAAGAACAGACATTTCATAAGCACATCCTGATAGGACAAGAAGCACATTTCCCAGAGCCCCAGCAAACATTTTGCACATCATTGGCTCACCTGGTTATGTTCCCATCACTCTGGCTCCTCCTACTCGCTAACTGGTATCTTCTGAAAGCTCCAGTCTGATAAATCATTGTATCTGAATTTTTAACTCCAGTTGCTCAAGGTGGAATCATCTCTCTGACACAAAGAAATGCACTGAACCCCCATATTGGCTTGTTCTTGAAGTCAGTCAGCCATTCTTTCCCACCCTGCCTCTTGCCTTTCCAAAACTTGGCCCTTTATGCTGAGGAAGAAGACGCTGGTTCACTCACCTTCTCCCACACTTTCTTAGGTTGTGCTGTTTCACCCACTCCTCTCAAACCTCTTCACCGTACCCTCCCCTCCGAGAACCCATTTCATTACACTGCGCTTCACCCATCACCTGCTTAGATTACTGCTGCCTTCCAGGGTCAGCTGAAATGGATTCTTTCCTCAAAGCACCTTTCTCCTTCTCCTTTCTTTTCTTTTTTTTTGGAGAGGTTTTTGCTATAGGGCACGTGCACTCACCAGAGAGACAGAGAAACAGAAAGAGAGGAATCACCTCCCCTGGGGGGATGGGCTACTGTCTCCATTCTCCTCTTGGGATCTTGGGCATGCATGCACACACGCCAGGCATGAGTTTAAGCCACCGAGTCCAGTACTCGAACCACGTGGACTACATGGGAGTCCAGCAACGTAGCCATTACGCTAACTGCTGGTCCCTCCTTCTCCTTTTTCTTAAAAAAAGGTTACTAATTTTCCCATCTTCATCCCTCAACTGCATCTGGAAATAAATGGGCAATCTCCTTGTACAATTCTGTTCTTTCAGGTCACTGCTTCCGGAGCTTTAGAAATTTATATCTCACTGAGAATCTAGATTTCATCTGAAATGACCCTTCTCCTACATAGGAGGGTACTTAGGAAGTATGAATTGTATTTATGTTGGAGGGATGGGTATGGTTGCATTATTCCTTATACTTTTTTACAGATCTGAAATGTTTTAACAGATACCTGGTGGCTAGGATCATGTGTCTCAGCCTTATATCCCTCTTCCTGCTCTGTTATCTACCAAGTCCTGATCGGCAAATCTAAATCTGAAAAAGTCAAGAATTCACAATTAGTCACCCTCCTCCACTCAGCCTAACATTTCCATAGGATTCTTGCCCTCATTGCCTAGAACTTTCTGTTCTACCCCTGAAATCTCAAACCCAGAACATTCTCTCCTGTTAGGACCCTTCCTTTAGTCCCTGCCACTACACACAATTTTCAGATTTCCAAGTTCTGGCTCCATCCATTGTTGCTGTTTCATTTAGCCTAGTATATACTTCCCTGGTCCTCTCCAAAAACAATGTAACTCCTTGTGCTTATTTTTTAAAAAGACTGAACGGGTTTCTTTTCCTTGTTGCCAAGTTGATCTCAGTAACAACTACACAGCTATTAGTTTAGTATACATGTAATCCGATTAGTAATATAATTTGCCAACTCGTAAATCTCAAAGAGCAATGTTTAGCAATTAATCTGATTACTTTAGAAGTGGATGTTAAATCTTACCGTTCTACATAACAATATTATCAAAGTCAGTCTTAGAAATACTGACTTTGTATAGTTGATAAGACATTCCAGTGATTAAAATTAAGGCAGAGAGAGAATGGGGCAGAAAGAGAAAGCTTCTTCAGAAATTTTCCATGATGTCTCTAGGAGAAATTAGAGAGGACCCTGTTTCTCAGGGGTAGGGAAGCTGCGTGGTCACGGAGTAGACCTCCTGCCTGGAACAAAGCTGTAAAGTAAGATGTAAGTGCACATTTGCCTATGTCCAGTTAATATTCACAATTTATTGCTTAGGGACCAGTAGTTTGAACTATGAATAGCTGGCAAGGAGTGATTACAATTATAGACTGTAAGATTCTAAGATCACAGACTAATGAAGAACAGCCCCCACTACTCAGAATTCTAAAGTGAGCCCCTGCAGGGACATTTAACAACTTTTACAGAGAAAATTTCTGAAAGTGCAGCTATTAGAAGAAGCTGCACCTGCCAACTGCAACCTTATCTCTAGTAGAGAGATGTAAGAGAGGGCTTTATCACTGAGACCTGGACATCCAGGGAAAAGCAAGCCTCTAAAAGTCAAGTCTAAGCTCAAGAGAGAAATATTGAATTGTTGGGAAACTCATAATACAGTTTTGCATCAAAGAGCATAGAAAAATACATCATGACTTTCCTGACAACCTAATGCATATTTTGAAGATGGTGGGATAGAAAGAGGCCAAAAATACACACTGGAAACTTTAGTTTAGGCCAGAAGGATTTTGAGCAGATGAACCTCAAACCTGACTATCAGGGAAAGGTATCTGTGTGTTAGGAAGCTAGTATTGTGTTGGAAAGAAGAACCAGACTTAGAGAAAAGCTGAGTGGCAGGATTGTTTTTCGGATGACACATGTGTATGGCTCCAATTCAGTAGAATGGACTTGGATCCTAGATTATTTTTCTCTACAGGAGTCAGCTCAGAACCCTGGAAAATGATAACTGAAAGGCCAGTCTTACCTGGGAGAAGACTAAAACAGACAGGATTTTTCCAGAGTAGGCATTTTGATCTTCCCAGGACTTTAGTAACTGGGCTCTTTGATAGTCCCCAGGCCACAGCTGTGTAGCTTCTTAAAGAAGGCGAATTTCTTCTTAACAGGCAGGTGAGAGGTTTGCTTGTCTGCAGCCCAAAATCAGTTACACAGATTCCAAGTCTCAACTGCTATGTAGCAGTTCAGAACAAAATCTCCACTCCTGGGCAAGTCCTTTGGAATTTGCAGTTGATTTGATAGCCCTGGGATGCAAAACACCTTCTTTAATGCCTCACGATATGACGTACACCTGGTTTACTGGCCTCCTCCTAAGGAGGAGCCACCCAGGATTCCTGGTAAATAGTCATATCACTGTGGTCTCCTCTATGTGTCTGGGGAAAACTAAACCCAGGAATTGGCCCCTTTCCCTGAGCCGGTCAACGGACAGAGCATGCTGATGGGTCACTTGGTCAAAGTTGGGCAGAGCCTTCATCCAGGAATTGTCTTATTTAAAGATCCACCAAATTCTGGATAGGCAGGTGATCTGGTGTTTGAGGCAGTGGACTCCCACATGGCTGAGCACAGTTTGTAGTTCCAGACCTGGTGGCTTGCTTTCTTACTCTCTCTCTTTCTCTCTCTGGTCAAGTTTAAAAATAATCATGATAAATAAACTTAAATAAAATGTTTTTTTTCTGGTAGAGATTTTTGCTTTAGGGCACATACGCTCACCAGAAAGAGACAGAGACAGTGAGAGGGAAAGTGAGAAATGATCCCCTAGCAAGGATGGCTATGCCACAATCTCTTCTCCTTCATTCTCCTCCCAGGATCTTGGACACACACACACACACGCCTGGCATGATTTTCAAGCCACCAGTCCAGGACTCGAACTACAGGTGGCCATGTGGGAGGACAGTGACTTAGCCAGCAGTCTGCTGGCCTCAGTATACATCTTTAAACAAACAAACAAAAAAAACAAACAAACAAAAACCCACTAAACTGTTAGGGTACTCAATATTAGAATATAAACATTATTCGGCTATCTTGTGCATCTATATTCTGAAATAATAATAATACTCACTGAACACTTTTACATACCAGGCACCTTGCTAAGCATTTAAATACATTTTCCTGAATAGTCATAGCAAGCCCAGAAGCGCCTGGCTACTCCATTTCACAAATCAGGAAACTGACTCAGACTGATTAACAAAGGTGCAAGTATTCACACCGAGGGTTACTGGACTCTGGAGACAATGATCTGACCACTGCACCTTATTACATATTTTAATTAAAACAAACTTATAAATGTGGAATACAATACCAGTTTGCTATTCTGAACAGAAATGATTTCCTCCAAGTTTTTAAGAAATGGTGAAACTCGTTTCTCTGGTACTAGTAACACACAAAAGCTAAAGGATCTTTTAGTATTTTTTTTTCTATCATCCCAAATCCCAGACAATAGGAATCCAATAAGAATTAAATCTTAATTTTTAAAATTCTTTCCTAGGCATTAAAAATGAGACAAGCTTAATGACTCTCCCTTCAGACAGTAGAAATATCTAGGGGACTTTAAGTTTCTTGTTTTAGAATTCAAAAGTCACTTGATATTTCTGCTAGAAAGCTGTTCCTATCATTTTTTTCCCCAGCACAGAGTGGGGGCAGAGAGTATATCTTTGGGTCTACTAACAAATCTCTGTAGCATACCCAGCTGAGTAATTATAAGTAAGAACATACCCTCAGAATTAAAAAGTCACACAATATTTTCTTGTCAAAACAAACATTCCTTAGCCCTTACCAGAACATTAAGATTTTTCTTCATTTTCCCCAAGTTCTTTTATTTCAAATATATAGCATGATTCTTCAAGAGAACTTTCTATTATTTGGTTTTGCTCATATACACTATATATATTTGCACTAAGTCTATTTAAAAGACCAGTCACACATTTCTTCCTGACAGAAAAAGTAAGTAGCAAGTAAAAAACCAAAACACTTCATTCATTCATTCCTAATTTTAAGTTCTCGGTATAAACAACTTAGAAAGCATTACCTTAACCAGAAACCCGTATCTTCTCTATTAGTTGAACGGTAAGTCGTACATTAGAATAAGTATCGAATTCAGGTCTGAAACAGGGATTATGCCTGTCCTGTGCGTCTTTCAGAGAGTAAAGTCCAAGTTATATTTGATTACTTTACTAAGCCAGAACAAGGAAACCCAGAATCTCCTACGACTCCCTCTTTCAAACTAGCTCCACCCAGATCTGAGTCAGTACAGATTTTCAAGGTCCAGAAATCAGAAGGTGCATTACAGAGAATGAAGGAACAGCTAATGAATGAACTATAGTGCACTACAGAACAGCCATAGGACTACAGTGCACGCTTCTTCAGGAGCTCTGCGCGTCAGCATAGCTTCACCAGCGTGGATGCAGGCAAGTTGCTGGTGGGACTGAACTATTGACCCTCACATCCACAGAGACCCCGTTTAGTCTGCTGCTGAGTGGTGAAGAAAATCATGCAGCTGGTTGCAGAGGGTGCTCCCCGTCTTTTGAGAAATAACTATAAACTTACACAAAGTCATAGTTCATCTACACCTACAATTCTCACTGTGGTTCTGGTTGCTAGAACAATCCAACTTAACAAACTCAGCTTCAGAGAAAGATCTTTGGAAAGACTACCCTGAGCTCCATGGGGAGAGCTTAGCAGTGCCCTTCCTTCATGCTGTCATATTGCTTATTGTTATTACAATGATTGGATCTCTCTCAATTACTCATACTCTCTTTCCTCTCTCTGTCTCTGTCTCCTGTCACACACATGCATACACATGCCGTAGATACTAGGAGCTAAGCTTTACTCAGCCTTGTATCCTCAGCAATTAGCATTGTACCAAATATACACTAACACATAGCAGACAGTCAGCATTTGCTTGTTGAATGCATGGGAACAAAAGTAACTATAAAGTGAATTAAAAAGTACTTCATGAGGACAACAAACAGGACTCTTCAGACTGGTTCAAACGAGGCCATCCAAGCCTTACCACAGTACACAGATCCCTCCATCATCTGGCTCTGCCTGGCTTTCTAGCCTTCACGCACTATTCACCCCACCCAATTTCCCCTCCTGCCACTCTGAGACTCTCGGTGGAGAGGTAAGGGGCATTTGGAGACATTCTCCCCTCTTTTTTCCATCTTTTCCTCTACTTCTTTCTTCTACTGCCCACTGGACACTGGGTTGGAAGCCTCAGCCTCCTACTAGAATCACCCATGCCCAGTTTTAATAAAATAAATTATGAAATAAAATCAATTAGGTCTTCCTTAAATGATGCAGGTCATACAAACTTTCTCCTCTGAGACCCCAGGCCCATGTGGTTTCTGCTATATCACAACCCCTCTATTGTAGATTCAGGGCAATATCTAAGATCCTAAACTGTACACGTGGGGAGAGCAAGCTTTCACGGAATTTTAAAATAGCAGAACTAGATATTCTTTGATGATTTCTGAAGTTCTAGGATGAAATATCAATGTACATATGAAGATACTTATTATGCAGAGATTGTTCAAGCTGAGGGTAAAAATAGAATCAAAGTTTTTAAGACTATCAATGGCTGAGAGAGAAGCATTGCTCTGAGGATCTCATCATAGAGAAAATTACTACAAAATTTATTCTACCATTGAAGACTAGATCAACAGTTTTAGGTTATGTATATTTCCCTTCCAAAGAAGGGAATCTGGAAGGCGGTAGGATGAGCCATTAGGATCCCATATTAGGGAAGCCTGGAGGGGTGCTGCTCACAGAGGTTCAGTTGTTAGTTCGGGAGTCAAGTTCCTCCATCATATCTATTCTGGTAAATGGGAGGAGAAATAGTTTCTGAAATATTGCTAACCCCACATGTGTATATGAAGTGTATGAACCTACACTAAGGTTCAGAGGAGAATTTCAAGTAACATTGACATTTAACATTTATTAAATTTGCAGAAGTTCTGAAGAAATAAAAGTGTAACTGTCAAGTTTGCAGAAGTTCTGAAGAAATAAAAGTGTAACTGTCAAGTAACTCGAGAATGGGAGAATTGCTACTGGCTGAATCCCCAGAGATCAAGTAGGACTGAAATTAATAGTCCAACTGGAGTCTTTCAATTGTCAAAACACTGCAGAAGAAAGAGAATTTGAACTCTAGAGCTGGGAGGTGGAAAGACATGACTAAAATGTAGAAGATCTTAAATTAGCCTGAGAGACAGATTAGGCATTATAGTCCTCATATATTAGTCAGTTCAATCAATATTTAGTTCTAGCAAGAAATAGTCTCCTATTATCCCAGTTGGCAGAAAATGTGGCGTGTTAAACTCACATGCTTGTTTTCCAAGATGCTAAAGGAGGTTCACCATTCATTGTGTAAGTCCTGCTTTCCTTGTTGATGCTACAGGGCTTCCATATTAGTACAGATGCTTTCCAGGGTCTTCTGGATACTTCCTGTGACCTCCTCTTTGCTCTGTTTTCCTGATACTTCTGTGTGTTTCAGGTCTAGAATAACCTCAGCAACTTAGTAACTTTAAATTCTTGGGACCAGCAGTTGGCATAATGACTATGTCGCTGGACTTCCATGTAGTCGACCGTGGTTCGAGTCCCAGATCTGGTGGCTTATACTCACACCAGGTGCCTGTGCATGGATGCCCAAGATCCCGAGAGGAGAGTGGAGGAGAAGGGATTGCCACGTGGCCATCCCCCCTGGGGGGGTGATTTCTCGCTTTCTGTCTTGTAAGTCCTGCTTTCCTTGTTGATGCTACAGGGCTTCCATATTAGTACAGATGCTTTCCAGGGTCTTCTGGATACTTCCTGTGACCTCCTCTTTGCTCTGTTTTCCTGATACTTCTGTGTGTTTCAGGTCTAGAATAACCTCAGCAACTTAGTAACTTTAAATTCTTGGGACCAGCAGTTGGCATAATGACTATGTCGCTGGACTTCCATGTAGTCGACCGTGGTTCGAGTCCCAGATCTGGTGGCTTATACTCACACCAGGTGCCTGTGCATGGATGCCTAAGATCCCGAGAGGAGAGTGGAGGAGAAGGGATTGCCACGTGGTCATCCCCCCTGGGAGGGTGATTTCTCGTTTTCTGTCTCTCTGTCTCTCTCTGTCTTTCTGGAGAGCGCACATGCCCTATAGCAAAAACCTCTCTAAAAATAAATAAATAAGTAAATAAATAAATAAATAAATTCTTCAGTGGGTTATTCTTCAAATTGATTCAGAGTGTTCTTAGCA